TACCCAAAAGTATCGTTAGCCGTTCTACATCGAACTGGCCAATGTGGAACTGATTTCTCCTGTTGGTTACGTAAATGGCTTAAATATCGTTCTACAAATGCTTGACAACCTTAGCGACATTAAAGCGCTGAATTAACTTACTAAAGATTTAATAGAGAAATGAACATCTTAATCAAATTCTCAAGGTAAGACTATTATAGACAGTCGAAGGCTTGATGAGTCACGACTTTGATACAATACGAGTATTGTAATAAATTAAGTGTTGTAAAATAGAAATAGAAAAATGAAGAATAACTGGACACGAGTAATCCTGATGTTAGCATCAAAACAGTGAATATCCTCAGAATAATTCTTAATTACTGATAAAGCCAAACAAATAATTCTATTAAATTCTCATATTTTTTAAATTCTAAATCGGATTGTTCAACTATGTGAACAATTACTCAATTCACAGTATCTGTACTGCGAACTATATACATCTTTGTGTTTGAATAGCAGATTTAACTTTTTGAAATGATAAATCAATTACTTTCCTAATGTCATTAGTTACCAATTAGGCATTTATGCAGATGATACTACCATTTACTCTTATCTCAATAGAAAATCCATCAGAGCTGACAAAGAAAAACCTAGCTGCTGCTCTTGAAAAGTACCTACAATCAATGATGCAGTAAATTGCTTGTAAATTTTAACGCCTCTAAAACAAAACATAGAGGAACCTTTCTCTCTGTCATCACTATGGATGACGTTAAACTCTTACAGAGCAACACACTGCCGTCTTGGCCTAATGTTTTCAAGTGATTTGAAGTGGAAAGACTACATCGACTAAATCAATAGCTGCATCTACTGCAAGGAAGATTTAGTCACTGCGTCATGCCAGAAATGTATTTCTCGTCAGAGTAGATCTTGCGCATTTACAAATCTATCATTCCTCGGCGCATTGTATACTGTTACTATATCTGTTCTGGTGCTCCTGCTATTCATCCCGAGATTCTTTGCAAAATCCAAATAAGGATCTGTCAAGTAATCAATCCTGACTTGGCAATCTCAACTTCAGTCACTTTCTCACCGACGTGACGTGGCTTCCCTCTGTCTTTTCTATAAATATTTTCATGGCAATTGCTCTAACGAGTTTTTTTCCCCTGGTGCCCCGATTATATGAATTAAAGCGTGCTACCGAATTGGCACTTAGGTCCTACCCGTTTATAATTGAAATAGCTAAATGCAACCGCCATTTCTACTCCAACGGTTTTTTCTCGCTTTTTTTCCGCTGTAGAAATCTCTTCCGTTTACTTGCTTCCCTGACAACTACAATCTTCAAAGATTTAAATGCAGCGTCAATCGTCGTCTTCTTTCTTCTTGAACCTTGCTTCTTTTTTATTCTTCGTCAATCCCCGATTATACTCAGTTTTTTCTCTCACTTTCACTACCTCTAACACCGTGCGTACTAGTGGCATTCCTGCCTTGCTTAGGGGTGAAATGATTTTTAAAAAATCATTAAATATACAAAACATATATAAAATATACGTTTATATGACAATCTGTGACAATATGATCCATTGTGATTTTTTAATGAGTTTAGTTTCAACTAAACGGTTCTATTTCTATCCAATAACAAAGAGAGAAGGGAACGTTTGGTTATCGAATTTGTTCATACTTTGTTTTCAGTATTTTCACTATTCTGTAGAGAATGTGAAAGTTTACTAAAGTTTTTCGACTAGAGATTTTGCTAATAGATAGTTTTCTTTTATATTTTATTATCATTAATTTATTCTAACAGTTTTGCTTTCTTTAATTTGTAATTTGAGTGTTTTCAAAACGTTTTCCCTAAATCTGCACTGAATGAACTCCCCGTAATGAACTACACAACGGTCTATCGTTTACTGCCCACCTCCAGGTGGTAGTAAACTTAAGAGAAGGCTAGTTTAGAAAATTTCGTTACTCCCTATGCACAATATCTATTTTATTATTTTATTTTATTATTTTTTCCAAAAAGTGCGGCTGGTTTTACACAAAACTTTTTCAATCTAAATACCTGTGTATTAATCTGGCGTTTTTTTTTGTTTTTTTTTTTAAATCGAGTTCGCCCCATGAAAGGTAGTAAAGTCACTAAGACAAAAAAGGTTGGAAACGAGAACAAAAGGAAGACAGTAGATAGCGATTGACATTGTATTGAAATTTTTGCAGATTAAAGTTGGCTGGGAAGTATGGAACCGAGAGAGAGAGAGAGAGAGAGAGAGAGAGAGAGAGAGTTCCACATGCGAGAAGAGCGAGAAAAGAAACAGCTTAGAATTTTCGATAATTCTAGCCAACTCAACTGTTTGTGTGCTAAACTCTACTAGTCAGTCTTCATCCTCGAAATATATATATATATATATATATATATATATATATATATATATATGAAGAAATATAGTTTTAATGTAAGCTATATTTATGAGATAAAGTGCTCAATATCAGAGATAGATATGTAAATATAAACGTCAACACTCAAAGGCGACGATAGACAGTTTCATGTTGAACGCAATCATCAAGCCACAAATATATATATATATATATATATATATATATATATATATATATATATATATATATATATGAATAAATATATACAGGCTGGGATGAATAAATTGTTGTATAAATTACGCAAAAATGAAAATAACACTGACATCTCATTTTAACAGATATATTTACCAAAATTACACAAAAATATCTTGAAATACTAAAGAGTTAATTTATTGAATAAAATAGCTATTCAACCACGGCCTCCAGGCAACTTCGGAATCTCTTGCAACTCTTCTGAACATTTTGTTTGCTTAAGTTGGTGAATGATGCTATAATCCCTGTCCTTATTTCATCTTTGACGCTACAAGGAATTTTGTTAGACTCCCGCTCAACTGCACCCCACACATAATAATCAAGGGGGTTGCAGTCTGTGGGGTTAAGTGGCCTGATGTAAGAGGGAATGTGCTCACAGAAATTGTCTGACAGCCATGACTGGTTTATCCTGCTTGTGTTCCATGGTGCCACAATCCTATTGCCAGACAATGAGTCTTCCAGCAACCACCCTCTTGACTCAGGCTAGCACTACCTCCTCAAGACACTTGATGTAGGCCTCCGTACTATGTCTGAGACCCTTGCCAAAACATTCATGAGTTCTTTTCTTATCTGAACGATCAGGGTGAATTTCCCGATCTACTGTACTTTGGTAATTACATTTAGACTCATCCAGCTCTTTTCAAATCCTCTGCACTATCCTCAGATTGACACCTGAACACTTTGAAATGTTTGTATTAGAGCTTCCGAGCAGTATAGAATGCCGTTTCCTACTTTTTGGCGGGTAAATTGCTTCATGCTGCTTTTTTTTCTCACAGAGAGTGGGCAATTGACTCTACTATAACAAAATCAAAAACAAAGCTCATGCGCGACAATAAAAAAATATAAAATGGCGATATTTACCTCATCGTACCCTATATATATATATATATATATATATTCGTGGTCCAATCAGAAAGTAAAGTGAATTTTGAAAGTAGGCAGTAAAAATAACAGGAAGGCACTGAAGTGCGACATTACATATGCTATGACAAATAGCATAGCTGACTCTAATAGCAAAGGGCAACGAGTCCAGACGTATGAAGATTGAGCGATCGTGAAACAATGCGCTGTAATGTGCTTTTTGTGGGCAGAGGTAGTTAAACATGTGAATATATATCGCCGGAGGTTGGTGCAGCATGAAAGCACGCACCACGACGAAAGGTGCACGAATGAAACGCTTTAAAGCACGAAGAACAATTATAGTAGATGAAAGCCGATCTTGTCGCCCATCAAGAAAAACACATCCCAAGGATGGATACCTTGATCAAGAAAACTGTTGAGTGACGTTGGCATGTGTAGGAGCAATCGTAGGCATCAGTTAGGGATCTGAACAAGACTGGATACCGTTTTCGTTACTGATCATATTTTTAAACACTGACGTCCGTTATTTTTTCCCCCTTTTTTCGATATTTTGCTAGACAATTAACCAATCAGAAGTTAATATCTTAATCGTACCATACTAATAAAGCCGTCATTTCTTAATCATGTGACCGCACGCAGTGCATAAAGCCACTAAGACAAAAGGGGTTACTGACTGAAAACATAAAAAGTCAAACATTATTAATTAACGTGGACAATAGAAGAGTAATCATGAGTCGGCTGTAAAGCACAGTGCCAAAAGAGAGTTCCATAAGCAAGAAAAAGAAAATGTTAGGATGAGGCTTACTGTTACGTCTAACCAATTCACCTGTAGCTTGATGAAACATTGCCACCAATCTTGTACTACGTTTAGATTCATAAAGTCTAGGTACCATATAAGAAAGGTCATCCGAACAATTACTATTGTATTTATAGAAAAGGTACATGGAAGTTGCATTACGCCGGTTGGAAAGAGGCTGAAGCCGAGACGCCAATAATTATGCTAATTCTTCTTTGGATTTTATCAAGAATCCCGAAATATAAAGCAGGAGTCATAAGTGGCAGCAATATTCAATGCATGGACGAACGGTAGACTTATAAATATATAAGATGGATCAAGGAGAGTAAAATTATCTCTCATGACACAGTGAACCAACTTTCTTAGCAGCAGACCTAGCAATCGATTCAATCACTGTTACTGTCTTAATAATTCTTAGAAGCAGTCTTTTCAACATCGTAGATTCCATTTTATTGCTATATTACAGATTGATTCAAATTTATTGCTATATTACCGACCGATTCAAATTTATTGCTATACTATCGATTGATTCAATTTTATTGGAACATGTTTAGTCAACAACAAAAAAAAAAGAAAAGAAAAAGAAAAAACAATGCCCTTTTATGTGCGTCTTTTCCTTTTATCGTATCACTGAAGAATCAGCTTCTTCGTGATTAATTTTTGCAGCTGCATTCAATTAACAGGAACAGAATAATGTGCTGAAATTTGAAACAGAAAATGCACATTTTAATAAAATTTTTGGTTATTACAGACGAAACAAGAAAGAAAATAGGGGAGCCACCTGGTGGCTAATTTGAGTTATGTGTATCAGCGCTTGATATGGACACTTGACGTCGATAACCTGGTGAGCTTCCCTGAAGAAAAAAAAAAACGATTGCAGATGACTTTGAAAACGCAATGGCAGAAGACTTTGAAAAATGAGTTGGCTTGGTCGTCGAACGAATTTTCCGTTCGATTCAGGCGTTTAGTATGTCACGCAAATAAATTAAAAATGTCGACCACTCGTTGGAGAATTAGCGGCTTTTTGTTTAATGATTAAAACGGGGAAAAGTACGTTATTACTGGAAACACAATATTTGTAGAATACTCTAATGCACACATTCTTATACACGGGTTTTTTCGTATTAAAATAATAAGATAGAGTAAGATTTTTTATAATCCGGTGTTCTTAGCAATTACATTTATTTAAAAAAAAGTGCTCGAGACAAACAGCAGAGCCTAATATTATTATTATTTTTAAAAAAACAAAAATAAGATTCCATTGCGACACAGAAATTTCTGTTTCTAAACTGTAGCTAAATTTGTAAATTTAATTATAAAAATTAAACTTAAAATCCAGAGTTTTGTTGCATTCTCAAGAGATGTTAGATGGCTTGACAATTGAACGAAACTCTAGATTTTAAATTTGATTTTTATAATTAAATTTACAACTTTAGTTTCAGTTTTGAAACATAGACATGGAAAAATAGAAATTTCTGTTTGCTAGCAAGCATCAAATTAATTTCTTCGGGGTTTGTTTGACATCTAAATTACGAGCAAAAATTAAAATCTATTTTTTATATAAATTGCTAAAACTTACCAACCATCTCCTAAATATGTAAAATCCATTTACAGCCTCTTTCTCTTTACTTCCCTCTTCCTCTTCTTTCTTTTTCCTTTTTCCTTTTCTTTTCTCTCTTCTCCCCTCCCATTTCAGTGTATCACTTCCGCTGAGTTAACCGTTTAAATAGGTTATGGTCTGGTCACTCCTCCTCCTCCAATACTAAGTATGATTGAGAGAGATATTAAACCCTCCCTAAACTCTACAATATCTCTCTAACTACTCCTATTACACTCTCTGTTAAATTACAAAAACTTACACTAATTTTCATCAATTTTCATTTCATTTTCCGTTTCATTTTTGGAAGTACTATCTGATGATCCGGAGTCCTTTAAAAGGACTCTGGTGAAATAAATTATTATAATGGAACCTTTAAAATGGTCTGTTTTTTCATTATATATATATATATATATATATATATATATATATATATATATATATATATATATATATATATTCCACTACAAACATGTAGTGATTTTATAATATACTATGTTATAATTTTTTTTTAAAAAATTATATATATATATATATATATATATATATATATATATATATATATATATATATATATATATATATGTATATGTGTGTGTGTGTGTGTGTGTGTGTGTGTGTGTGTGTGTGTGTGTGTGTGTGTGTGTTAGGGCATCTCGGTGGTGTAATGGTTAGCAAACTTGTCTCGCTAGAACAATTACGACTGAGTAGTGAGTTCGATCCTCACTGGGTGTCCCTTACTTTCGGCCTTGTGCCACATCCAAGCTACGCTTGGAAAATCACTATGGGCACCTCGAGGCGGTGTAATGGTTAGCAAGCTTGTCTCGCTAGAACAATTACAACTGAGTCGTGAGTTCGTTCTTCACGGGGTGCTCCATACTTTCGGCCTTGTGCCAAATCTAAATTACACTTGAAAAATCACTATATACTATCTGTGACCTCAGTCCCGCTAGTGACTGTTTAACATCGATGCTCCAGGCTGGTTTTAATTCAGAGTCTCCTACACGGTTGCCACCCGAAGCTATAGAAGCCAGTCAATCTTGAAATTTACCCATAGCTGGCAGGGGAAGAGAGGGATTCATACCTTTCCCAAGGTAACATTCACGTAAGAAACGCATAAACAGAAACTGTATACTGCCATGAAGTAGTTGTGGCCATGGTACTGGAAATAATCCGCTACGTGGCTCTGGAATGTGTATGCCGGGAACATTTGGAGGGGCAGGGTGGGTCGCATTTGATTGCGAATGTGCCATTCGGTTGCTTGAACAGCCTAACCAAAAGAAGGAGTCCTCTACCCTGGGGCACATTTGTTTGATGCCTTGGTAGGCTAAATGCAACTCTTGGAGAATCTGGTTGAGCAGAGAAATGGTGGGGACAATACGATCGTGATAGAGGATGAGGAATCCGTCGCAGAACTGGAAGAACTGCCGTGGCTTGTTGCAGTTCTCTGGAATACCTTCTTCGATCATTTCCATGAGTCTGTTGGGGTTAATGGATGTAGCCACACGGACCATACCCAATGTGATGGGTTGGATCACTTCGGTAGTGGCTGACGGACTGCATACCTGAGTGTCATCCTGTTGGGCCATGCGGATATCTTTGAGGAAAAACTGGAGCAGAAAGTTGTGGTTAAGTGGCTCTGTTGCGTCTACCATTATTGTAATGTCATCTGGTGGTGTGGGGTCACCGACAGAGTGGCATGAGATGGCATCAGCTGCAGCATGAAGAAAACCTGGTATGTGAATGACATTGAATTTATAACGCAGTGACTTTGATGTTGCGCAGTCGAGGGTTATTCAATGCATCCACAACTACAAGAGCTTCGCCCTCCACTGGTGCATTGAGGGGTTCTAAACCTGAGGTAATTCTGCTCCCAACCAGGGTAAAATTCCTGCCACACATGCAGCAGAAAGGTTTGAGGAAGCGGCATGAGCATTTTGAATCTAGCTAATGGTGATACATTTGGACACTTCAAAAAGACTGTTCAGGCGGTCTGTCCACACAAAACGATTGCCTGGCTTAAGGAGTTCCCGGAAGGATAGAATTCACTTGGCGGAAGCGAAGGCGTAGGATACCTGGTTGATCAGTCCGAACCAGCGGTGGATGTCGGTGAAATTCTTTGTCACAGGAAAATATCGGATGGTAGCGAGCACATGGCTGCACGGTGGTTAGGATTATCTCAAATCCCGCAAATTCAATGGTGATCTTGGCGAATTTAAACTTCGTGAGATTCAGAATGTTGCCGTTCAGACTGCATGTGTATAACCATTAGACGACCCGAAAGAATGCCTTCTCAATGTTGTTGGGCTACATCAAGGTGTCAACAATGCACTTAGTTTTGTTGGGGATGTTTGAAACAATGTTTGAAACAATCTCGTCAAACCGCCGGCTGTAACTGTTCCCGAGGCAATGCATCACTAAGGTGCGACACAATAAAGATAGTGGTCTCAGGCTGTGATGAATATTGTGAAGTGGCGATCTACTTCGTCAAGGGCGATGCTCTGGTAGCCATTCCAAGCGTCAAATACAGTTTCGCAGCTGTGGGATCGCACCGTGCGGGCTTTGTGAAATGGAGACTGGGTGTGGTGTGTTTAGCGAACTGCGAGTCGGTTGAGTAGTTGAATGTCGGCTGTTCGTCGGTGTTTCCCCGATTTCTTGGGCCAAATCACCATCCTATGGCACCAAGTGACTGGTGTGCCAATGGATACGGGCTCTATTACTCCGAGGCAAACATCACTGTCGAGACCCGCTTTCATGTCATCTTACCAATGGACTGAGGCTGGGATAACCGTGTGATAAGTGACTAAGCGCCGCTATCGATAATTATGTGAATTGGTGAACTGGATATCCTGGTGAAGTGTTGATGCTCACAGACGTTAAATGTATTGAAGTTATAATATTCTAGAAGCCACTCCTCCAGGTGGAAGTGATGTGGGAGTAGAAGGTGCTGGTTGGCGTCGTCGGCAGTCGTATGTGCTCTGAGTCTGCTCGGTGGATGTATTGGTTATTGTGACCGGTGTTGGGGAGCACATTTTCTCCACTTGTGGGGGAGGTTATACCGTGAGCGTCACAGATTTGCTTGGAAACGAAGAGTTTATCGGTTGAGAAGGTAAAGTAGAAAATTTGGCGGGTCTGATGCTTTATGTTGAATAGGGCAGATCCGGATATTCGCAAGATCAAGGCACCGGGGATTTGAACGGAGCTGCTGTTGACGGCAGTCATCTTCATATTGACTTGACAGCCAGTCACGACTAGCATCCGGTGCTTGTCATTGCTTTCTAATAAAACTCCAGTGCTGGGTGCTCGTGAGAGGAGTAGAGAAGACTAATACATGTGTGTCCGTTAGATTGGCTTGGTTGAAGACATTACGAAAGGGATGAATGTCGGAAAAGCGCTTCATCCACCCATTGCAGAATTCGTTGTATACGTGGCGATCGAGGGTAAGTATTTCGATAGAGGATTCGATAGGGATACTAAATGCGTTACAGATACTGTTGAATATAGTGGTAGCTTCATAATCCTTTCCACTGCGTGCGTTTGGGTTTGCTGTTGGGGTCAGCGTCGTTGTTGGCGGGAGACACTCTCATAGTAATGTAGGATGCCGCAATTGATGCATTGGTTGTTGTAGGCAGGGCACTTCTTTATGCGCTCATGTATGTAGCGTTCGTAGCCCTGTTTTCCACATAGGCTGCAAGGAGCAGTTAATGGCATGTCGGTTCCACTCCACTCTCGGCGTCTGTAGGAGTTGAAGGTAGTTGCTGGTGAGTTGATACCGTGATCTATCAGACGGCTGGCTCAGCGCTTTCCACTTTCTTACGCATCATCGTAACTCAAGGCATCCCCGAGAGTCATGTCAGGTCGTGATTCTCTAACAATACCCAGGCGGATCTCATCATCTTCCAGCCCTCACAATTATTCTATCAGAATCTTTTCCAATCAATCCGAGGGCTCCAACTACAACTGGAATTACTGGTGTCCTCATGTGCCTCATTTTGGTATATGTTGTTGTTGTTATTGTTATTACTATTATTATTATTATTATTTGTATATGTTATTTTTCCTGCTTTGTATCCTGTAGAGCCTGGTCCAAACTATGGTCCTTAGGCCCTATAGGAGAATTGTCATTTAATTTATAGCGAATTTCTTAGTATATGGCATGAACCTAGTAGGGCCATCTTCTGGGCAACTTGTGTATTGTTGTTACCCAGGACATTGTTAGTAAAATTGCCCATTCCTTTTCTCACGAGGGTCAGAGCTCCGATTACTATTGGTACAGTCTCAGTCTTCATTCCCCACATCCTGATAATCTCGATCTCCATGTCCTTGGATTTGAACAATTTCTCGATAATTTTCATGCAAGTGTTTCACTCAGATGCTGCTGCAATGACAATGCAGTAGATCAAAGTTATATAAGGTTATCTACCTGTCAATTTGAATTGGCATGTTCCAAACATCGTTATTATTATTATTATTATTATTATTATTATTATTATTATTATTCTGAAATTAATGTTACAAATACTTTTTCTCCTCATTATAATTATTTCTTCAAAAATTTGTATATACAATAAACATATCTGTGGTAACAAATTTCTAACTCCTAGGACTTGGAACTTACCTTTTGTCAAATTTAATACTTGTATGATGAATTTAAATGACATGTATGCTTTGTTCCTATCGATGACCACATAATGGCTGAAAATGTTTTCATCAGCGATAAGAATTAAGAGTAATTCCTGCATATTCACGCTCACACACACACACACGCACACACACACACATATAAAAATATGTATTTATATATAGACATATATATACATATATATAAGCTTAGATTGTATTAAAATATATGGATCCATATTGTCAATTTCTTTCTTCGTTCAACGATAATGTTATTAAACTTATCAGACGTTATGAAAAAAATTTACATAAAATAAATAGACAACACTCGTCTATATTATTTAATGAAACGTATATATATATATATATATATATATATATATATATATATATATATATATATATATATATATATATATATATATATATATATATATATATATATATTATGTGTATGTCTGTGGGTGTATAATTCTAATTGCATACAGGTTATCGTTGATGTTGTTATATACAGTACTCAGTATTGTGAGGATAGAGCCATATATTGTGCAATGTTACAATTTTAGATTTTATTAACTACAGATCTCTGAATAATTCATTTTCTGGATGTAAATTATCAATCCAGATTCCACGTTGCGTCATTTGCCGCTTTGGTTTCCTGGAATTAGTATACATGTTTTGTTGCTAAGTGTAAAATTTTATCTTATCTTTTAGAGAAAGGTCTGATTTCACCTTTCAAAAAGGATCTTAGCAGAGATTGAATTATAAATTTTCGGGGGTGTGGAATCAGTTTTCTTGTCTTCATATTCCCATATGTGATTCGTGTAGAGCCAAGCAGGTTGCTTTAAAAGAAAAATCAAGAGATAATTTAGAAAGTGAAGCTTTAGTAACTTCTTTGGCGTCAGCTGAGTTGTTCGATTGGCAATGAGATCAACATGAAATACATTACCGGAAGTATTCAATTTGTTTTCATTCTTTTTTTTTCATGGATAAACGTAAAAAGTAAAAATCTTCTGTATCTGAATTTAAAACAAATTATCGACACCTAATGTATATATATATATATATATATATATATATATATATATATATATATATATATATATATAAAATGCTTAAAATCGGAGACAGCTTTTAAAGATAGAAAAGTGTAGATATATGAATGAGTGTCGTGAAACTGACAATCACCATACTGAGTTTATTCCTACGTTTTCAATCTCTCTTTCTCGCTCTCTCTCCTCTATCTATCTCTATCTATCTATCTATCTATCTATATATATATATATATATATATATATATATATAAAGAGCGATGTCAAAGATAGAAAGACGCTTATCATGGACAACAAAACAATCAGCTTTCATTCACATCGCGTAGACATACACACGCACACACATATATATATACGCGATGTGAATATATATATATATATATATATGTGTGTGTGTGTGTGTGTGTGTGTGTGTGTGTGTGTAAAGCCTATTTAATTAATGCCTTCCTTTATGCATTTTCCATTTTTTTACTTTTTTACCATTTCTCGCGCGTATTGTACATTATTATGGTTACCTGGCATCACCCAGGTTACAAGGGGTTTTACGCGAAATGCGAGCCGTTGTTCACTAATTTTGTTTCTCTTCATTGCATTAATTTAGCCTCGATTTCAACTTCTGCTGTAATAGATCCATGTAATCGAGATTTCAAAAAATGCTGTATGCAAGCAGATTCTCTGGGTTTGCTTAAAAATTATTTACCTCGTCTTTATTTTTATGCACAAGTTATGTGTGTGTTATTTTTGCGATTAACTCAACAAATCAATGATAGATTTTATATTCCTTTTACTATATCTTTTGCTTATTTGCACTATTTACATGCGTACAGTTTGTCCTTATCCTTGTTTTTATTATACGAACGTTTCGGACATTGTGCCTTCCGGCTTTCATCAGGCTTATGTCGATGCGAGTAACCTACAGTGAATTTAGAACTAAACTCTTTATTTTATCTATGGGGGTAGCCTGTTCTAGTTCCAGTTTCCCATGTCTAAGGATATCTCGTCAAGGTTCTTATTCTTAGTAACACTCAGTCAAAACACAAACAGCCCTGTCCAGGAATTGAACTTAAAATAAGTCGAAAAAAAATCCCGATTCAACTCTTGAATTCACTAGGCTATTTTCCCGTTCTCTTCTTTGGGTCTTATACATAAGCAGCCTGCTGAAGAGTAATGCTGTATTTTTCATGGTTGACTGCATTCACTTAAGCTTTTTCTTTTGTTACAACTGCAGCTGCTGTTGGTGTAGAAAACTTGCTGTCATTGGTCTTTCTTTCTTTATTTACAACCCTCATATTGTATTTTTTTCTACATTAAGCCTACTACGGATGTCCTCGTAGCCTAGCATAAAAGATGATTCCGCATGTAAATAGTGTAAATAATGATTATTTCTCATCCCAGAAATTCAGACAGAAACGTTTCCTTTAGTTCGGCAATTAAGTCAAGCAAAGGAAGTGATATATTCAGATTATGAGGAACACAAAAATACAGTCCCCTTATAGCTAGTTATGGAATGACAAAACAAAGAAAGAAAAACGAGACAATATTTTCGTATTGACCCTGGAGAGCAACTAATATATATGAAAACGAATTGACGCAACGTTTTTCAGAAACAGCTGCAAATAAATCTAAAAATTTTGTCTATTTCAAGAAATATTTATTGCTAGTATTATTACGACAAACTAATCATGGAAATGCATCAACCAGTTAAGTATTAACCAGGAGTAATATTACATTAAACTAGGTGAAAGTATATATAAAGGGTTTCCCGCCAAAATTAACACTATTTTATAGTCAATTCTCGCTCAAATGATCTCAAGTTGAATGTTATTTTTTTTCTTGAGAGGGGGAATGAAGAATGACGTTCAGTAGAAATGAAAAAGCATTTTGTGTGTTGGAATTTGCTCGAACACAGTCAACCAAGAATGTGCAGCACATATAATCGAAAAACTTCAAGAAAAATACACCAACTGAAAAACAGATTCGAACATGCTTCCAAAATTCAATGGCGCTAGAGAATGTTATGCAAGACATGCTTCAGCGTTTTTAGCAGGAGCTGGACTATAGACTTGACGTATGTTGTGTCACAGGTGGTACGCATATTGGACATTTGTGAAGCTTTGTGAAATCGGTTATAAAATCTACATCCTTTTGAATATCGTGTTCTAACAAATAAATATTTTATTGCTCAAACATAAATCCACTTCATCTTTCGTTTGCCTGGTACATGTGGTTATTCGAATATTCACATTTTAAATTATGTCAATTGTGGGGGAACACCTGTACATCGAAACTAGAGTTAGAATCATGTTGGAGATTCATAGAATTGTTTGCTTAAGGTTCTCAAAAACTGAAAACTGCTGAATTAAGAAACTGAGCCTTTCAAGTTGATTTGGTAAGATTCAAGACAGATGCTATCCCATCATTTTGGAGATAGGAGTGTTGTGTATTAGACACCTATCACAGAGCAAAAAACCTTTTGGGTTCCCAGTAGCCTTCATTCACGTAAAAATACTATATATAATAATATTTCAGTCCCTTTATGTTAGTTTGGAAGCATAAATTGTCCAGGTTCTTTGAGGCCATGCTTCA